TATGGATATGGATATGGAGAAGTGTGGTGGATACTCATTTTTTAACCATTGGCAATGCGGATATCGTCCAGCCAGACTAGATATCCAGATAATTACACCCCACAGGATTTACAGGAAACCCTGCCAGGCGTTGCTTGCAATGCTTTGTATTTTAACACGCCGCGGGCAGTGCCTTTCTTTTTCCCTTAAATATACATTGATGTTTCACAGTTGGTGCCTTCCGCACTTACATGCTATGGAGGGCATCACCAGGTTTGCTTACATACAATGCTTTAAGTAATAGCTTTGTTATATATTATTCTAGGCTGTGCCTCTTGTGGAGAGCTCAGTGCCTCTTGTGGAGAAGAAGTTCATTATAATTATGATTTTTTTCGGAGATAGTTGTTTTGGTAGCGTATCTAATAATGGGGGTCACTTCGCTTTCTAAATTCGGGACTTTTAGATGATGTTCAGCTGTGAGAGGTAATTTGAATAGATGATGTTCAGGACTGCCTCTTTCTCCACATGCACACTGATCTAATGTTGCTAATTTCCTTGCATAAAAGTACTTGGGAAAAAGGCCACGCCCTGATAAGAAACACGCTATTTCTCGTTATTAAACTGGGTGTTATGCCTATTTTTTGGAATCGTTGTTCGGCGTTGTCCCCCCAGTTCTGCCATTAAACTTTAGATCTTTTGCTTATGATATTTTTAAGGTGCGAGCCAGGCCATGGTACTGATAAATTTGGTGCATTTTGACCCCTAAACTGCTTCTTTGGTTAGGATGTTAGCCTTCTTGTTGCCTTTTGTCAATGCATGCGCCTTCAGCCAAGTGACAAAGTGTTCATTTTGTGATGCTGAAGATCTTTCTGTAATCTCCTGGCTTAATTTTGATCGGTGGTGCGGGTTTGCGATAGCATGCATCGCTGAAAGAATGTCTGTAAACGTATGTGCTGCTTTTAGGGAGTTTGGGATGCTGTATTTTATTGCTTGAAGAACGCTACTGATTCCGCTTGGAATATACTATTTTGTTGATCTAGGTGGAACTTTTGTTCTGTTGTCGAATTGGGACATAGGTAAATTTTGATTGCGCTGCCTTTACCTTCTTCTAGGTTGGAAACGTCTGTATAGAGTTGGGGAATTTCTTTCCGCTTACTTCTTTTTTCATGCTTAATGTGATGTTATTTTTCTTTCCTGGTGGTGCTCATATGGGTGTGCCGGTGTCTCGTAATTCTCTGCCAAAAGTTCTAATGATTGTTAGTGTCTCTTCTTTCGTAGTTGTAGTACTGTTGTCTTATGGAATTCTTGTTCAACGCGTATAAAAAGTGGTGCGCTGTTAGCGATTTGGAAGAGTGTCGCATTTGATGTTGTTCTGTAGCTTCCTGTGCAATTAAGAAGGAAGAGTCGCTGGATTGTATAGTGTTTTGTAACTGTACCAAAGAAAATGGGCTATGATGGTGCACTCTGGACTTGACATAACCCCCAAAGCCAAAATTCAAGTGGTGTTAAGTCCGGCGAGTGAGAGGGGCCACTCATTTCTACAGTGACAGCTAATTATTCGCTCTTCAGTGAAAGCAAGTTGTGAGAAACATCTTCACTTCGGTTGTCATATGAGCAGCTTTCACGTCTTGCATGGAAATCACCGGGTTAACGATATCACGTTCCAGTCAGTACAGTATCACTTTCTCCTGGAGCAGCAAGTCGAGTTTCCCAGTAACTAACCGGTTCTTAAGCCAGCTTTTCCACAGCGCTTTTCAGAGAGAAAACAGCCCGTAATAATGGACGCAGTAAAACCACACCAAACAATTAAACGCGATGACTGTAGGAGCTCTTCAGTATAGGCACCGTCGGTTCTTCTTTGCCCAGATTCTATAGTCACGGGTTTGACTGTAGAATCTGGGCAAAACGCATGTACTCAAAACACATCTGGCAAATTTTGAAGTAGATGCCACCGAGAAAATAGTGACCCCTTTAGCCTGCTTCATAAATGATCCGTCTAAGAGATTTTGTATTTTATGCGTCAAAATGTATTTCTGCTGTGCTCGATGGCACAATACACAGCTTAATAATACGTCAGGAATGTGAGTAATATACAAAATTCAGGTCATTTCAAAAAAAAAAAAAAAAAAAAAAAAAAAACCTTCTTATTTAAAAGAGCCATCCGTCATACGCTTCAAGTTTTAGTATATGAAGGGGGGAGGAGCTGTGTTTACGACGGCATCAATCATCTCCTACAATAGCTACGATAAAGGTTATAAAAAGTGATGAGAATGGAACAAAAGTCGTTTTTACGACGCGCTTTGTTGTGAAAAACTGTTTGGAACAGTTTCCAAAAGTCATTTCATTTTAGATCTTTAGTGCTCAAAAAACGCTTTTTTCTCCATATCTATAACAATCAGAAACTGAAAGCAATTTTTTCGAAGGAATATGCTATGTTCCTTGCTTTTCTGGAAAAAAAAAAAAAAAAAAATATTTAATGTATGACTTCATGCTTTTGATTCATACTCTTATGATAAATTATGTGATACAGCATATTACATCTGAAAATATAAGAAAGATAAATAGTAAAAGAATTTAATTTTCTCCACAAAAAGTTTATCGTAGTTCTAAAGTATGAATACAGATGGCAGCACAATCTCATGTAACGATTATTTTTAATTTTTTAGGTGGGGAAGGGGGTAGAATTTAATGTAAAGGCGGTCTTTATTTTTTACTTTTTTTAATCTCTAAACGAACTTCATACTTGGTGAACTTTTAATATAAAGTGAGTAAGAACAAGCAGACAGCATTAACTATTTTTAACTGATTTTTTGAAATAAATTACGGGTTTTATAGTTCTGTAGTGAGACATTCTGTAATGCAGATAATAAAATAATTAACAGGATCTTAATTTCTGTAGCAGCAGATTCGAAAGCCAATGAAAGACATTTTTTTTAACATAATGCTTTTCTTCACTTTGGTGATAGCGCGTATTATCGCGCATACAAACATCCAGCAAAAGTGAATCCTCTAATTTTTAACAAAGATTTTCTTTTCTGAATTTTAATGAGGATTTTCTTAAGCCACATTGAAAACAGGTGCTTGTATATTATCGCAAATACTTTGGCACAATATGGCGAATTTAACGGGAGAAGAAGAACAAGTACATTTATTGTAAAAATTTACGTGTTACATATACACATACATATTTTACGGATGAAGAGGAACAACTGCTTTTATTGTAAAAAATTATACGCTGCACACATACATATATACATATTCTACGTCTCAGTTACATATTTATTCCAAAAGATAGTCAGTGATCCTAGCTATAAAGAGGCTTTTATTTTCATCGTGGTCGAAATTTCGTAGCGATCGCTTTGAGAAAGAATACGAAGCATTGTTCGGACCCACCAGCAGCCGACCGGTAAAGTCACTGAACACTGGTAGCTCGGTTTGAGGTCCGAATACCGGGGAACGGGCTGGCTGCATGGGCGTTTTCGTTGTTTTCCCTATATGTAAAGCGTATACTCTTAGAAAAGCGTCCACGAAGGCGTCCATCCAATAAGGCAGACAGCTCTCGAGTGCTTTGATGTAATTAAAATAAACCAATCGAAACATCGCTCCTTTGGCGATTTTGCAATATAATAATATATTCTTGCTGAAATTTCACCTCTTTTTCTTATATTATAGAAAATTTCTACAAACACAAATCTTAAAATCGAGTTTAAGACAAAAAATAATCATAATTTTTCTACAAAAGCCGTTCTAGTTTGGAATGCAACAAAAAATACGAAAATGGTGATGTTGGAAACTGAATAATCGTCATGCGCATGGTTACTTGAATAATTGTTATGCGTTTGGTTATCAGTTTTGTACATTCTGAAGTTTTGGCGATTTCTACTAAGGTGGTTGCGATAACACGTAAGTATCTGGAAACGAAACAAACTGAATTTGAAATTTATCTTTGAAAACATTTCAACCACATCTGAACACTACTTTTGAAGTTTGCTATATTATTTTGTGTTGAAAGATTAATTCAGTTTAAGAGCTTTTTAATTCCGGATTTGGATAATTGCAATCGAAACAGATGGTTATTGGCCTTTACGTACTTAATAACAGAAAGAATTTTGTATATTTTTAATAAACTCCAGATTTTAGTCATAAAAATATGCACTTTAATTGGTTAGTTAGGCATTTCCATATTCCAATAATCGTAAATTACTACAGGAAGTGTAGAGTTATAATCATTTTTATAATGCTGAAGTAAAATAATTTCAAAACTGCCTTAATGACAGACTATGGCGTTTATAAGGAAGAAACGTCTGGATAAGGTAAGATAATGTAGGATGAAAAGTTGTAAATCAGAACTGGTTTCACTTAATACTAGCAACCCTGTAGCTTACTGAACAGAAGCTGCGTAAGTCACTGGTCGCCAGATGAAGATTGCATATGTTTTATTATTTATGATGCAGGTTATTGTAAATATTTTAAATATATTACATGTGAAAAAACGCAATTCGTATTTATTATATGACTTTAATTACCACGATCTGCTTAATGAACGTTCTCTAAAGATTTGTGATGGTCTTCGTAAATATTAGGAAGCAAAATATTTTTTTAAATGTAAATACAGTCTTGTCTTAGATATATAAACGAAAAGTATCTTATGTATCTGATCCTTTTCAGTGATTATTAGCCATTTTTTTCAGGCTTTAAAAAATATTATTCATATCTTAAGATAATAGAAAGGCATTAATTGAATTAAGAACAATAGAAAGGCATTAATTAAATTCGGGGTACAGTCTTAAAGCATGTTAAAATATTAATAACTATTTTTTTATTTTTATTTTTTTGTGTATCGATTTCATTATTCTTAAGTTCACTGTACATAGTCAAAAAGCAGCGCTTTATTTACTGGACCAATATTTAGTTTACAGAAAGTACAGTAGATGGCAGCACCACTGAATTGTTTCATTAACGGTGTTCATATTGTAACAGTGTATTTGCTTTGAAAAATCATACAGTTTTACGAATTTTAGAGGCTAAAGATGACCCTTTGGAGACAATTCGTGTGTCTGCTGCCGAAACAAAAGTTACAGTCACTGGATTAAACCCCGGAACTACATACGTGTTTCGAGTACATTCTGAAAACGCTTTGGGAAGGAGTGGACCCAGCCAAGAGCTTATTGTAACAACTGAGGAAGAAGGTACGTATGTATGTAATTTATAGTATCACTGCAGTTAACTAATGCTTTTCACGAAGTAGTTTTTAATCCGTCTAAAAGTGAATTTCATTGTATTATTATTTAATAGTGTGTCTGATATTTGTACAATATTAAAAATGATAGTTCAATACTGGCTTTAATTTTAAAAAGAATAACCTTAAATGTCTTAAATTATTTTGGGTAGTCCCAGAATTTATTGCAATATATGGCTTCAGAACATGTCCTGAAAAACATGGTAGCTTTCATAAATAACCCCGAATTTTCTGAACACTGTTAAAATTTTTAAATTTAAGCGATGGGAGAGAGAGAAAATTTTGGTGCTGAGGAGTGGGAATAATTTTAGAAATCAATTATAATTACTTTTAGAAATACTTTTTAAAAAATTTCCAAATTCCTCAAGAACAATTTTTTTATGAAATAAGTTTAGCTTTTGTGTTTGCATTTCACACCTAGAAAAACGCAGTATTATAAACTCAAATTTTTAAATGGATAATATTGAAGTAGAAAAGGATTCAGAAGAATGTTAAGTTTTTACATACGTTCTTACGTACATACATTCATACTAATATACATACATACTTACATACATATGTTCGTACGTATAGACGTCACAAAAATGTCATTTTGCACTCTGTTTGGAAATAGTCTTTTATTCTGTCCGTACGTATAGTCGTCATGCAAAAAAATCGTCAATCTGGATTCGAAAACGGTCAAAATGGATACTTCCTATGAAATATGATACCCGAAAGTTTTCGCTATAACAATACTACCTTTAATTATTACAAGTAAGGGGAGAAAAACAAAAGAAATGCTGATTCACTGAAAGTTATTTTAATTATTCTATAATATTATCTCTGAAAGTTACATTAATTATATTATTTATTTTAAAACTTTATTTATTATTATTAAAATTTATTTTATTAGTTTTAATTATTATCAACACTTAAATTATAATAAGGTGAATATTTTAATTATAAATGCTAATATTTCTTTATCGAATACATATTATTAGTCTATAAAAAAGGGCGGAAAATCCATATAAATATTATATATTAAGAAAATTTTCCAGAAAGTTTTTGTTTTTAAGAAACTTAGTTCTAATGCTTTTTATTCTTAAGTGTTCATGAGATATGACTTAAGCTAAATTCCTGGATAAGCGTCTAGAATTTCTTATCAGTGTATCTTAATGAATATTTATTAATAATTCCTCCACGTACTCAGTGAATACTTTATTGAATGAGTAATATTTATTAGAATTAAATTAAAAGGAAACTGTTTTATGGTATATCTACTAAAAATTCAATGATTTGGAGTTGCCGATACTAGCGTTTACGCATGTTACAAAATTATATAATTAAAAAAAAAAAAAAAAAACCTAAATAATATGAATATGAAAGGGATGTTTACAAATAATGCCAAATTCCCTGCTTGTTATTATGTGTAAATTTTGCTAGCATTCAAAGAGTACTGTCATCTCAGCTATTACACGGTACTAGTCAATAAATGAATATTATTGCATCGCTAATGAATCCAATGTATGTGAAAGCAAATTCATTATTTCATTATGAGCTGTTGCCAGCAATAGATCTCATTAAAACCGGAATGTTTAAGAAACGCACCCACTTGCAGAAAGGTTTATAATTTTTTGTTTAAAATGAGAAGTGTTAGAATTTTAGTTTTGTATAAAAAAATGAAGTACTAGAAAAAGCACAGACCATTTATTGTTAAATAACAATGACTAAATACTTAATCTAGTTTAGGAACAAAAAAGTGCATTAACAGCATTGAACAGCAGGAAGAAATATGACTGTATAATTGAAACTAATCACAAAATTGCTTAATTAAAATAATTTTAAAATATTTGAGACATAACTATCAAGGACGTGTAGTTATTAAATCTTCTTAACTATTTGTTCTATTTCAGCGCCAACGAATGCACCTCAAGACGTACGTGTGATTCCATTGAGTTCAACAATGATAAAGGTGACATGGAAGGTCTGTGTAATTATTTTTTATGTTTGTATTTTAAGCTTTGAGCAAATTAGAATTTAGCTAATGTAACTGCAAAATGCTGTAAGTTTCTTGAATATCCCAGGCTAAACTCTTTAGTAAATATCATAAGTATATAATTTTATCTTATATTAAGCTAAAAGTATATCATTCTCATTTTATTTCTGGGAAAAAATATACAATATAATATTCCATGCTTTACTGAAAATAGGCAAAGTTTTCCATTTAAACTTTTGCATTATATTTAATTCATAATGAAAGAAAAATACTTCGTATTTATGATTCCTATAGTGTATTAAAATTTTTCATGTATCTTAACTAAAGAACTGAATTTTATTAGTGAAATGGCTATTTTATTTTGATTTCTCGCTCAAATCTTTCTCTTAGTTTAAAAACAAAATGAAATAAAGTCTGTTTACCCATATGTATGTATAACCCATATATATATATATATAGGACTGTCGATTTATCAAAACTTCAAAGGTGAATGTTTAGATAAAAGTCATTTACCTGATTTTAAAAAAATAATATTTATACGAATGGTAAATATAATGTATGCATTCATTAATGTTCCTAAAAAGTCTTAAAAATAACTTAAAAGGAACTTTTAGATCACAATTCTTGAAGAACTTGAAATTTTAGCTATAAAAATAAATGCAAATATACCCCCCCAAAAAAGTGTTTAAAATAAATTTAATTAAAACTTCACATTTTTATGCAGAAAGCACAATCAAAGCATTAGAATATATTGTCATTAAGATATTTGAAAGCAACAGGTAATCAACGTCTAAGGTAGGGAATTTCAGGAATTAAATTTTGAAGGAAGAATGAAAATGCAAACCTATCCACATATATCCCTTTATAATTTAATACACTTTAAATATCTGTAGTATTTAAAGAAATGTAAATGTTTAAGTGAGCAGAAATTTATGAACTTTAAGACATAAAAGCAAAATTTTGTTTCAGGCACCACCAGCAACAAATAATGGATTTATTCTAGGCTATTATGTTGGATATAGAGACCTGACAACGAACGACCCATACGTGTATAAGACTGTCGATTTATCAAAACTTCAAAAAGTGAATGAAGCTTTAATATCTGATTTAAGGAGGAATACCAAATATGCAATAACCGTGCAAGGTTACAATAGTAAAGGAGCAGGTCCTGCATCCAAGGACGTTATTGTTCAAACACTACAACATGGTAAGCTTCATTATAAAATACACTTCCCTTAGAAATTATTTTATTGAAAATTATTCACCTCTGATTTTCTTATTTTCAAACATATTTATTACATATTTACCATTTATTACATAATACTTAAGTTTTTATTTAGAAAATTTGTTATAAAAAAGAAAATCATGAGCAAACTATGGATAGTATAAATCCACAAATTTGCATGCATTTTAAATTGATTAAAATGGGAATTCATAAAGAATATGAGTACTTTCAAATAACAGAAAACTTATTTAAGTGTGCTATCAGTTATAAAAATAAATATTTGGATACAAAATTGTCTCTCTAGCATTGTTTTAAAGTTCACTCCCAAAGTATATAGTGCTGCCATCTAGTAATGAAATACTAACATTCAGAAAAATAATTTGGGATTTTATGCTGCTGTCATCTGTTGGCTGCCATCATTGTAACAAATTCTGGGAAACGTAAGACTATTTAACTAAGCATTTTTATGAAAGTGCTCTTATGTCTGCTTAGGAGTTAGCCCTATTTTTCTGTAAAATCTTACTATATAAATATCTGGTAGAGTAATTCGAAATCTAGTTACTAATAATGCAATGACTTATACCCATCACATTTTCATGATAATTTTAGAATTATCGTTAGCTTAACTCTATCCTCTTCCCTCTATCTTAAAATATTTTGCAATTAATTGCAAATAATAATCTTAAATCTTTTTAAACTCTTATAGGATATTTTGCTGAAATATTTTCTAAAATTTCTTCAGATCTTCAAAAGGAATATTTATATTTATGAATTTCGCCTATATTACTGTAATATTTAACATTTTAATTTTCTATAAATAGAATTTGAGAGAGAAGAATTACATAGCAGTTGGAATTTCCACTAATTTCAGATAATCGTACATCTTACTGCTAGATGCAACTAAAAGAAACAGTGCTCCACGGAAAACAGTTTACTGAAAAATAATATTAAATATTAATATGTTTAATGCAATACAGAATTTTGGAAGCGTAAAGTTTAACATTTCTTTATTAATATATATTTTTAAATAATATTATTTTTTTTATGTTTAGCATTTAAACGCACATAAAAGGTTTTTTCCTAGATTTTTTTTTTTTTTTTTCTTTTCAAAATATGTGAAAATAATAACCTTAGAAGTTACAATAAATATAGTTAATAAAAATATTATACAGCGTGTATGAGTACAGCGGTAATAAATTTTCAAGAGAGATAGAGTACACCTAGATGATGAGAAATCACATAGTAATGCATGGTCGTAAACGCTTTTTTAGCGCGGCAGTGACGAAACTTAAGTCAAGAAAGCAAGGACACGAATGGGTGAGAAAAAATTTTGATTATTCGGAATATGACAAAAACAAAGAAAAACCACCATACAGTCACAACGATTATCATCAAAAATGTTCTAAATTATGACCTGAACTGTGCATCATGCACCTTCCATGCGCCAGAGAAGTGAGGCCTGCATCACGGTCTGAGGACGTAAATTCGAACACCTTGTTTAGTAACAATCGTTGTTTATTTTTCTTCTTATTTGTAGGTTTCTGCTGTACCAAACATAATAAAACCTGTTTTATCTCTCTGTGTTCTTTCTTTTTGCATTTTGTGTCGTCACTACCGTGCCAGTAATGCTTTTACAATCATGCATTGCTATGTGATTTCCATCGTCTATGTGTACTCTATCTCTCCTGAAGAATTTGTCACCTCTGTTCTGATACACCCTGTATTAATCACACGGTATTTCGAATTCAATATTTTAGGAGTATATTAAAATTCATAAAATATTAAAACAGCATCAAATAACGTAACATATTTGTGTTAATTTCTGTGATTGTTAAAATTCATGTTTAAGTTACCTGACTTATTTAATATAAAACTGATACAAAGTCAATATTTAAAAGCATTTAGAAAATGTTTCTTAATCAGCTATTCACTTTTTCTTCATTTGAAACAATGTGCTTCCATTTATATTTTAAATCGGAAATAACTGTCGAGTTATTTAGAAACTAGTAATATTTGTTTCGTACAAAATGCATCCATTTCTTAAGTTTGATAAAATATCTATAAATGACGTTATCTATTGAATTGTCAATTTTTTGAATGACCTTTAATGCAGATGAATATCATTAAAATGGTAAAATAATCAACTTTTATAATCTTATGTCACTGACTTGAAAATTGTATTTAGAAGAAGCAGATACTTGTCCGTTGAATACCTAATTATATACTTAGATGCAAAAGAAAGAGAAATTTCATTTCCTGATTTCTAATATAAATGCCCTATGAAACTGCTAAGAATGTTCTTGTACTCTTTGAAGTTAATTTTCACACTCATCATAACTTCTTTCTTTTTTTTTTTAACCAGATGCTTGTGAAAGGGGGAAAATTAAAAATACTAATGCAATTACACTTTTTATTAGAGTTTTTGACATCAGGTCTATATTGTATATGAGAAAATATATGTTTTCTGTAGGATTCACTTTTAATTTGGGTTCAATAGATATTTTCATTAAAATTTACATTATTTTCATACTATGTTGTAAAATTAGGATGTTGTTACATAAAACCTGGTAATTAGTTCCTGCTGTGCAACTCAAGTTAAACGAGCCTCAAGATAAATCAGGATCAAAAAGTTCAAGATAAAGTAGTCGCTATATAAATTTTAATGAAAATGAAGGATAATAAATTTTTTTGGGAAGTTAAATAGGAATTGTCAGTTAAGAAATAGGAATAGGAATGTTATATATCTTCTATATTAATAGGAAACAATTATGTTCCTATTAACATATAACATAGCAAACAGTAGAAAATAAACAGGAAACATTTTTATGAATGGAACAATAAAAGTAATTAATAGGAACAGTAGGAAATTAAACAAGAACAAGCAATAATAATACAAATTAAATAGTAGGAAACATTTACTAGGAATAATTTCCCAACAACAGGAAACAGTTAATAGGAAACTCTACATTAATTAGTTAATAATGTACATCTTACCTAAAATTATTGATGTTATAGTATTTGATTTACTGAAATTTCAGTTATTTATTTTATGCAAGATATGTGCGTCAAGCATTAAAATTTTAGAAACTCTTCCTCATAGATTATGTTTTTTGTGCTTAAAATTGTATGAAGAATTTAAAATAAATTATACTTTCTGTTACGATGAAAGAAAAATATACAGTACCTGAAATCAATAAAAGCAAGTAGTACACGAAATAAGTATCTAATTGTATAAATAAGGCTTATTTATGCAATTACATGCGCTCTTAAATGTCTCGTTGACATGAAGAAATTTTTTTGTACAGTGGATTCACAGCGTAAAACATTCTTTAGAAGCAACAGTTTAAATTTATTAATAGCAATTAAGAGAAGCGTAAAAATGAATAAAGAGAGATTCATTTAGTCTCTCGAAAAACATTATATTTGTTTCTTCAGAATTAGATGAACAGATTTGGAGAAAAAAATTAAATTATGAAAATAATTTTGTGAAAATACATAAATATGAATACATCACATAAAAGTTTAGTAACTTATTTGAAGATGGTATGACAGGTCTCATATGACATCAATATTTTTTATTTTATATAATTTATATAATCAACCAGAATTACAGAACTGTATAAAATGAAAAGAATTTTGTACTTTTCTGTTATTGGGACCGGATTCAGAAATGTAAGTATGTATGCATGTATGTATGTATATGCGTATATGTGTGTGTGTATACATGCAGATACAAATACATACGTTACATGTATATGCGTATGTATATGTGTATACATACATTGCATACATGAAAACTACATACATACTGACATATATACATGCATGTAGGAAGACATACATATGCATTGACATATATACATGGATACATGAACATCTACATTCATACATCCATACATTTCTGAATTCTGTCGCTATAACAGAAGAGTACAAAAACTTTTTAAGCTTTATTAAGTTGAACTGAATTTTTAAATAACAATTCATTATTTTTATAAAATCAATTCAAGAATAAATTCTAGTCTAGATTATTAATCAGAGTGATTTGTTCAATTTGCCTTGAAACTTTTGTAGATCAATTTATATAGGTATGAACTATCTTTTAGGCAAAGAAACAACATATTACGTGTAGTAAAATACTTTTTAAAACAATTCTAATTTTTCTAATTTGCTTCAAGTTTATCAGATACTTTTTCAAAAATACTTAGGTCATATCTAACAATGGAAAAATATGTATATAGGTGCAATGGTTATTTAAAACAATTGTTCTGAAAATAATTAACCATAAGGGGCAATTTGCCATTTTTGCATCGTCCACTATAAGGTCGTTTCGCTTTTCAAATTGTTGATACCAAATATTAGAACACTGGAGTATATTTAAAGAAATTTAAATAATGAAGAATCTGCATGAATGAATGTATGTTTCTCGCACTGTGAAAAAACAACGGTACCTAGATCAATCCAATTTTGAATACCGTAGTCCTCCAACCGAACATAGGCATTCGGAAGCCCGAACTTTGAATACCAAATTTGTTTTATTATCTAATTCATATTTCGTAAACCTTTAACGAATTTTCGATTAACAAACTCAATGATTTCAAAGCGAGCAATGGCAATACTGTACGAAGAAAAGTTATCTCCAACGCGAGAGATTGTATATCAGAAATTCTAGTTATGCTTTTTTCAGTATTTTGTGATATTGGTGTTAAATTGAATTTTATGGTTCAAGTGCGAAGAATATGATAATTAATAAATAACGGTAGCACACGAAAAGTAGAAATAACGCCACTTTGCGCGTAATATAAAATCTGAAAACTTTCAGATTTTTTTGTGAAATATAACCAAGGGATTAATGCAACAGAAAATACTATCAACGCAAAAGCAAAACGTAACATTTTTTATGCTGTTCTGAGTTTATTTGCTGTATATAGTTTTATTTGCTGTATAAGATTGTGCGTTTTTGATTGGTTAGAGGTGGTCATTTT